TTTCTTTGTTTTTAATAATTTTTGAAAGTTTTTTTTTAGAATTTGTTTTATTTTTATTTTTTCACTTTATTGATTGATCAAATTGAGTGATCACATGTGATTATGTGATCAAAGGGGTGAGTGTTAGTATTAGATAGCAATATGGTCTACGTGCAGGACTGTACAAGGACTCTGATGATGACTCCATGTTTTGACTGTCTCTGTGTGACACGTATGTCTTTCGATGTGTGACGTGACAATGACTATATAAACTGTGTACTGCCTTTATTCTGTCTGAGAGAAAGAAACAAAGGAAACCACTGGAACTTGAGAGAAACTTAAATAAACTTCCAGAGTTTGGCGCACCACGATCCGTCTGTCTGCTTCATCCCTGACAAGACCAGAGAGTGAGACCAGAGAGTGAGACCAGAGAGTGAGACCAGAGAGTGAGACCAGAGAGAGAGACCAGAGAGAGAGACCAGAGAGTGAGACCAGAGAGTGAGACCAGAGAGTGAGACCAGAGAGAGAGACCAGAGAGAGAGACCAGAGAGTGAGACCAGAGAGTGAGACCAGAGCTCAAGTCAAAAGTTGTTTGATCAATTGTGTGAACGTTTTATGAGAAACATGAAGATAAGACATGAGTCCCAGAGAGCAGCAGCGGGAGATATACAGCGCTTTGCAAAAGTCTTAAAACAGTTTGAACTTTGCTGCTCTTCCAGAGTCATCTTGGGCCACTTGGTTGCCTTTCTGATCAGTGCTCTCCTCGTTCAATCTGTTAGTTTAGGTGGACGGCCATGTCTTGGTAAGTTTGCAGTGGTGCCATACTCTTTCCATTTCTGAATGATGGATTGAACAGTGCTCCGTGAGATGTTCAAATCTTGGTACATCTTAACGCTGCTTTAACCTTTTCCACTCCATCCCTGAGCTCTCTGGAGTACTCCTTGGCCTTCATGATGTTGTTTAGTGACCTACACACTCCGACCACAGCTCTGAGGCCCTCACAGAGCAGCTGGGTTTATACTGAGAGTAGAACACACACAGAAGGTCATAGGGCGAGGTTAATGCACCCATTGTTAACGCTGGTTCAGCCACGGTTTCTCCTTCGATGATAAATGGACACTACAAATTCTGCTTAGATATATAAAAAAGGTTTAATATATAAAAGACAGAATACAGGATACAGGATACAGACAAATGGCAGACTGGTTCTCCAGTCTGGGCCCTGCTCCCTGGCAAGCCAAAAGCAAAAGACACTGCTTCAGGAACAGGCTATCAATGATAAGCACACAGTCACATGACATGATAATTGAAGACATATGTCCCAACATCCTTAGGTGAAGACAATACCTTCTCTGTTTCAGGACAAACAAATAGCCCCTGTGTGAATAAGCCTGAGGCTACTCTAAACAGATGTTCTCTGCGTTCTTCTTAATTTAACTTCCTGTGCTTAATGGCTGGGGGATGATTCACACATTCTTCACTCACCAGACTAGCTACTAGATCCATACTAGACTAAACGTTACATTTATTAATATGATAATAACACAATAACATACTCCATTGACATAATTCCCCCCTATTCATAATATATAAATGTAAAGTTTCAACATCCAGCATTACAACTCTTCTCAGTTTTCTGCAATACCTTCATCAGGAGAGAACTGCTTATTTGGCTGTAAATCTGGAAGTGTGTATGACCTACCATATAATATTTCAAATGGTGTCAATGCACTACCCTGAGTAGGTGTTATATGCATGCTTAACTGTACCAAGTCTATGCATTCAGGCCATTGTCTGTTTGTTTCCTCCATGCATTTCCTCAATTTAGCTTTAATAGTGCCGTTATTTCTTTCAACTAAACCTGCACTTTGTGGATGGTAGCTACAATGTCTTTTTAGATTTATGTTGAGATTTTTTCCCACCTTATCAATCACATCATTCACAAAATGTGTTCCATTGTCACTCCTGATAACTCTGGGAATCGAAAATGTTGGCACAATTCTTTTACATATTGCTTTAGCCACTGTTAGAGCGTCCGGAGAGTGACAAGGAAACAATTCTACCCATTTGGAAAATGCATCAATAATCACGAGGCAATATTCCAAATTGTTCACTTTATTTAACTGGATAAAGTCCATGTGGATTTCTTCAAAAGGATGTGTGGGTTTAGGAAATACCCCCCTTTTTGGTCTCATATTTCCTTGTGAATTGTGTTTTATACAGATTACACACTGATTACAAAAATGTTTTGAGTATAAATTGTACCCATATGTTGTGTAATATTTGTTCACCAATCCACACATACTTTGCAGAAGAAACATGGGTTACTCCGTGGCTCACTAAAGCCGCCCATTTAAACATTGATTTAGGTAGAACTGGCTTATCGTTTGGACCCATGTACAAGCTCCCATTGAATATAGCTCCCTCTTTAAGCCATTTCTCTTTTTCTGCTTTTGGCGCTTGTTGCTGCATTTCTTTTAAAAGATAGTCAGAATCTTGTGTTTCTTCACTAAGCAGTAATCCTGTTACTTCTTTTGCAGCTTTATCAGCTGTGTCATTTCCTGTTGACACTTTGTCTGTCCCTCGCGTGTGAGCTTCTCATTTACATACAGCAAGCTGCTGTGGCAACATTATCGCTTTGAGTAAATTCTTTAATAATGTTGCATGTTTTACATCTTTTCCCCCAGAAGTTTTATAACCACGATGTTTCCACTGTTGACAAAACAAATGAACTGTAGCGTATGCATATTGGCTATCAGTATACACCGTTAATTTCTTATCTTTATGCAATTCACAAGCTCTTGTTAAAGCTACTAATTCTGCTGCTTGTGCAGATAAGTTACTTGGAAGTACTTTTGCTTCAATTGTTTTATCCACAGTGGTAACCGAGTATCCTACATGATTTTTCCCAAACTCATCTTTCCCTGCTGAGCCATCAACAAACACTGTAATTCCCCCAGAGAGTGGCATGTCCTTTATATCAGGTCTTGGACGGAAGTCTTTATATGCTTCTTGAACACAATCATGTGCAGTGCCATCTCCTTCTGTTGGAATTAGAGTAGATGGATTTACTGTATGACATCTCTCTACGGTCACATGTGGTTGTGACAGTAGAAGTGTCATGCAGGAAAGGTGACGGGCTGGTGATAGGAATGTCATGCTTGTTTGCAAAAGTAGCATTGACACAGCATGTGGTACTTTCAAGGTCAATGGGTGAAACAGAACAACTTCAGCAGATGCCTGGACAGCTAATGCTGCAGCCAAAACCGCTTGGACACACACTGGAGTCGCTCTGGCCACCGGGTCAAGCTTTGAAGAATAATAAGCAATTGGTCTTTGTTTTGACCCCCATTTTTGAGTCAACACTGATGTCATGAATCCATTTTTACAGTCAACTGTCTGTTCAAATGGCTTAGAGTAGTCCGGCAAAGCTAAAACTGTTGAGCTAGCTATAATTCCTTTAATTTTGCTAAAGGCTTTGACTGCTTCATCAGTCCAATTAATGTTTTCTTTAGGTGTCATTGGCTTTTCAAAAATTAAATTTTGTAATGGTCTTACTAATTCTGCATAATTAGCTACCCATTGCCGGCAATAATTACATAACCCCAAAAATGACATCATCTGTTTTTTAGTTTCGGGTCTAGGTGCAGCTAAAATAGAAGCTTTTCTTTCCCCATGGATTAACCTTCCATCTTTGGTTAATGTATGACCTAGGTATTTAACTTCTGTCTTCCATAACTGTATTTTATTTTTGCTGACCTTATTGCCAGTTTTAGCCAAGTGTTTCAGTAAAGCTATAGTATCTTTTTTACAGCTCTCAACTGTCTTAGACGCCACCAAAATGTCATCCACATAGCTCAAAATCTGGCTTCCCTCCGGTGGATTAAAATCAGCAAGACAATTTTTTATTGCATCAGAGAAAATAGTTGGGGATTCAGCGAACCCCTGGCTTAATCTTGTGAAAACATATCTTTCCCCTTCAAAGGTAAATGCAAACCAAAATTGACTGTCTTTATGCACTGGAATGGACCAAAATGCATTGCTGAGATCAATCACAGAGAAGATTTTAGCCTCTGGTCATAATTGATTAAGCAGTGTATGTGGATCTGGTACATTAGGTGCTCTTTGAATAACTGCTTCATTCACAGCTCGCAGATCTTGAACCATTCTCCAAGCTGTCGATGGAGATGCCTTTTTAACTGGGAATATTGGTGTGTTACAAGGGGAATCTGAGCATTTTTGAATTATTCCTTTTTTAATTAAATCCTGTATTACAGGTTTTATTCCTTCTACTGCATCAGGTTTTAAAGGATATTGTTTTATCCTGGGCCTGTACTCAGTTTTTGCTCTGATCTCCACTGGTAACATTCCCTTCATTAACCCAACATCTGTGGGCCCTTTTGACCACACCTCATCTGGAACTTGCTCAAGCTCCTCCTCCTCTTCCTGTGTTAGAGTCATTAGTCATGCAAGATCCTGGTCAGTCAGATGTACTGCTGGCGTACATACTACTGTCCAGTTTATCTTTTGTTTTCTCCAACCAGTTGTTTTACTCCAGTATACTCCTACTTCTTTATCTTGCTCCCAATCTCTAATTGATTCCACTTGGACCAACAAAGGCATTGTTATCACTCCACTCTGCCTCTGGGTCTTTGGATATAGAGATATGTGGATTCTGCAAATCTCCCATGAGTTGTTTTACTGCATCTGTCACTCCTACAGTGCAGAAACTTGTTTTGTCTCTCCAGTAAATGTCTCTAATTTGAACTCTCTGCGGACCCAATTTTTTTACAAGCTTATCGTAAACTGGATCACCTCCAAGCAGCACCCGAAAAAAAGGTGAATAATCAAACCCTGGGAGCGATATGTGTGTATTCGAGATGAAAGCAATGGTTCTCCTTCGAGCAAGGGAAGTAGCCAAACAAACCATAGGAGACAGCGGGTGACAGTTATTGTCCACAAAACATCATGGATAGCAAGAGATCAATGAGGTACCCTATTCACCGATGGCTGATGGTTAGGAAGGCCCCAAAGCGCTGTGGCCATACACCTTTTATGAGGGCAGAAGGTCAGACGGGTATGCCCTGGGTAGGCCCCTGGTCATGAAGAATACTAATAGGTCAGGAACCATGAGATGATTAACGTATCGCATACCAAATCTGCCCTGCACAGGAACCCCCCGACTAGCCGCTACTGTCCCTGTTGCATCCGATTACCATACAAATATATCAAAAGTCACCCCTACCATCATAAATCCAACATATACCAACGGACTTTTATTCCCCCAAACAACAAACAAAAACAACAAACCAAACAGTCATTCTCCCAACCCTCGCATAGTATACCCCACCCCACACAGCGAGAAACTCGTGAACAATTGTATCCACCATTGGTACACCTCAAACCACAGAAAATGTGGTCCCGTGGTGGTCATTCTACGACATCCCTTTGAAATTTCCCACAAAAATTACCCCGGACCCACGACTGCCCTTATATCCATAATGTGAAACCACCTATACACACATCACCTCTTCAGTCGAAAAATTACCACACAACACACAAACAAGTCCGCCTACACGCACTGCCTCCGCCCCTCTTCCGACATTCAATTCATCTCAATGAACCCATAACCATACAAATGAATTCTACAGATCTAAATATAGTTCCCATGCCTCATACATGTCTCCCACATAAAGTTTCCAATTACCAAAGAACTCTCAATGGTCCTCATTAAATTCCATAAAATTAATTCCCAAATTTCAAATAAACACACCAATTCTCGAGACGAGTTTCCCCTCACAGAGTACTGGGATCAAACATTTTACTACCCTACTCGAGGCAATAACACAACCCCCGCCCCCCTACAACAGCAAAAACCTAACATGGTCCGCCCCGCCCAGTTCACAACAACATAAACATGCAACGGCCCCCAATTTTACCCCTCATGTAACCAGTACCTCCCTCCCCCCCGGAAATTCCACGATCCAAAACCCCCCCACACATTATCCACTCCAACCCCTCCTACCCCACCCACACTTCCTCCTAATATATAATAAACGACATTCTTAAAAGCCCCCTTGCTCAGCAAAAACTAAAACCTGGAAGCTCAGTCACCCATACACCTTATACATCCCAGTGGAAGCAATACACCCCAACTTGGTCCTATACAACCCAAATAACCAAGAACATTGCAAGCCTTCCGAGTAGCACGCCACCTCCAGTATTGAAGACAGTCCCCCAATTTGCGTACAAAACCAAGTAAGTAAGAAGTAATTGCTCATGCATAAAATTGACTTACCCCTCTCTCCGATGTCAAGCAACTCCTGATTTGAATTTTGTTGAGTAGAGTAGAAGACATTCTTACAGTGCCTCTGTGCCGGGGAGGATAAACCAAACCCCCCCATCAGACACCTGTGACATCCAGGAGTAGGGATTGCGCGATGCAAGGCTAGTAGAATTGTACCGTCGTAACGATTAAGAGGGTGCCAGTTATGTACCGCTGAACCTTTGCGGTAATCCCAGCAGTGCTTGCTCGCAGGAGCGCCTCAATGGCCGACTCCTGCCAGCGAGGACTCCCGACGCACCCGCGAACTCTGCAAGTCATCGATAGTCAAGGAACCGTCTTCCCTGGGGAGCTCAAAGACCAACAACATCGCCTGCGAGACCTCATCCCCGATGAGTTTATGACAATCCTGCCATATTATATATCAGCCAAAAGCCCTCCCCGTAACTGATATAAGATAACCACCAACCCAAAAAAAAACCAAAAACCGTACAAACAAACAAAAAAACCCCACAACAAACAACAACAACAATACAAAAAAAAACACAAAAACCCCCTCCCCTCCCCCAACAAGAAACCCCTCTTACCCCAATCTCTACAACTATAAATCCTAACCACCCCTACAACCCCACTACCCCCCGGTTACGTATTCCTCTTCTATTTTCCTCACTATCCACCTGTTTCCCTCCCTCTCCCACCCTGGCACCCCCCACTCCCCTCTGTTCCGCCCATACCTCCCCCTCGCCCCCCTATTCCTCGTCCTATCCCTCCAACCATTCCCCTCCCTTCTCCCCCCACCCACCATTCCCCGACATCATACCACTCCAACCCCCCCCCCCAGCCCCCTTTTCTCACCACCCGTCATCAGCCTAACCCCCCCACCATAACCTACTAACAACCACCTCCCCCTTCCCTAACCAACACAACCCCCCCTGGACCCCAACCCTTTCTTAATCGATCTTCTGCTCTACCCGCCACCTCCCCCAAATAAAAAACATATCAACCTCAATACCTACCCAAGTATGCCCCCAATATCCTCCATATCCCTACCACCAATCATCTCCTTCCTCCCCTATCCCACCCCCCCATACCCCCAACTCCCTACATCCTCCACAAACTTCCCTAATAATACCCCTACCCCGCCATCCCCACTTTTAAAATCGCACAATATCCCAAACCCATTCTCTACACGCCAATAAACAACTTCCAAACTCCCAATCCCCGATTAAACTTCCCTTCACCCCCCCATCCCACTTATAAAAAACAAAAGAATAAAAAGAAAAAACCAAAACCCCCCCAACCCCGGTCATCCCTCTATCCCACGCTCCGATCTCCCCGCTCAAACAAAACTAGACACTCACGACACCCCCGCCCCCCCCGCGTTTCTTTCTTCTTCCCCTCTCTCGCCCGACCACCCCACCCCATTCCATAAATACAAACAACAAACCCACATGCCACCAAATCCTAAATTTCCCCCCCCACAAAAAAACGTCCAATCCACACCCCAAAACCCATAACACCCCTGCCCTCCCCCCTTACACCAAACCATTACTAACCCCCACAACCCCCCCACATAACAAATTATTAATAATCCCCCCCCATACACCCGTAAAACCTTTCCAACCACCGAAAACCCTAAAAACACCGAGAAACACCAAAACCACCCGAATAGCACCAACGCCCACAAAGGTCCCAAAAAACAGCCATATACTCAACCACCCAAACATCCTAAGAACAACAATTACCACTGCGTCCGGCTCGTATTATTTGAGTAACCTCTTGATACCAGTAGCCAAAAACATGCGACACACCCTCTTCAAAACGAAATATAGGTCACAAAGAAGTAGCAGAGGAGTGCAATGAGTAGAGTACTATGACCGCATTGAGACCTTATGAAATTTGGCTCTATCTGGGTCCAGGATGCTGAGGGGGCACTGGTGTGGTGACGGCCTGGTGAAGTAGGTATGGCTATTCGTGCAGGTGTCACTATCTTCTCCCATCTACACCTTGCCACGACTGGTTTATTAGAACACAACAATTATACAACACCACAAATCTAACAATAAGACCTTTAACCCATAGAGATAAAGTCTGACCCCATCACACACCCCCATCCATCCACCACAAACACTATCCCCCCACCCATCCCACCTGCCCCACTCCCCCCCGAGATCTACCCCCCACCCACCCCACCAATACTTACCTATTCTTCCCCGCCGCCCCCATTATTCCCTCCTCCCCCACCCAATACTCCCCCTTCTAATACCAATTCTCACCCCCTATTCTTCCTCCCCATCCCCAGCATCCACTCCAGTAATCAAGCTATCCCATACCTCGTCGCAATCCCCTGCTTCCAGCGGCCAGCCATCTTATCACCTCCACTAAACCTCAAGGTAACTGGCACCCGTCTTCCAGTACGACGACAAAATAGCCATTGATGCGCACATCCTCCACCTGTTATTTCCAGACTCAGCAGAAAACACCCGCCACATAGGCACAGACATACAGGACACACACACACTCACACACAGCACATGAGAATCTTACACTTTTAACGGTGATATACATCCCAAAACTCAAGTCCACCCGCAACACAACAAATACCTCCCACCCCAAGTAACCTCACCACCGGCGTAGTGAACACCCTTATAAACCCCTAACAGTCAAACCCAAGAGAACCTCAACCACTGTACCCCTAATGTCATTAAGAGTCCGCCGACCCCTCCCCCACAAATTACCCCCCACCCACCCCCCCCCCCAACAACCACAAAAACGATACATCAATCATAATTCCCCAGAATCCCCGCCCACGTACCCAGCCCTGGTACAATGCCCCTGACCTGTGACCAAAAACCCCTACTCTCAACCTAACACCTCCAGTGAAAATGCCGACATAACAAACACCACCAAATGTAATAAGTTATAAATCACACTACGAGTCTCGCCATACCCGCATCTCCCTACCACCTGAGTATGACCCCCCACCACACCCCAGAAACACCCACAAACCCCCCCAACCGGCCAACCTGTGACACCATCACAACCCCCCCCTTCATTCCACCGCTCATCCCAACCGACTCTCTCACCCTACCAGCCCCCCACATACATAAGAACCCAACACACCCTCCAACGCCTCTTTGAGTCGTTGCTAATCAACAGTCCATAAGAAAAAAATATAACACATCACCAAAACACAAAAACACTATGTCTCACCATACACTCCTCCCTTAGTGACCGAAGGTCCAACAAAAAAATAGCTCAACCCCCCGAATAGCAAACTCTCCTCCCCCCCGCAACCCCCTCAACGCCCCCGAGACCCACACATCCCAATCAAGATCAAACCCCCTTCCAACCAATTCCTGCCCAATTTGACACTCACCCTAAACCCTACCTCCACACCCTCCCTCCATAACTCCCCCACCCACCCCACCACCCCCGACCCCCCGATACCCCACCACAACCCTAACCCAATTTAGTTCCTCCCAGTCAAACCAAACCCCACAAATGGACCAGACCTATATACTTCTTCATGACCAGGCTCCAGGGAGTACCCGCCTGACCTTCAGCACAAAAAAGGTGGAAGGGCCACAGTCTTAGGCCAAACCAATCATCATCCTGTTAACGGTCCCATTGACACAATCAACCAAGCTTTTGTTCAGTGGCACCGAAATGTATGAATTGCATCCTAGATCTTAGAACCTTGAATCAAGTCAAAGAGACATTTAAAGGATCTCAACATATCACATTCCCCACACCCTCCCCTACTGCCCCGCCCCCTGCACCCGGGATTCTCGCAGCCACACCCAGCCGCCCATTGCACCAAACTGAAATCGCCCCCGACACGCAATCTACTAACAGCAGCCAGAATTATTGCCGAAAGATTGATTTAGATACATCGCCCGGTCGGTCTAGAGTCATGTCTTACCCTACAACCAAAGACCCCTAACACCCCAGAAGATATAGTCAATAACACGAAACATCATCCATCGCGACTGAAGAGAGACACATATAAACTAACCACATGCCAGACATACATACATAGCAGTCAGGAACGGGCACACAGACTGGTGGCCTGAATCATGAGCTGAATGACAAGTAAGGACATCAGACAATGGAGGAGGTAAAAAAAATCTATAAAAAAGGAATCTGCCAAGCGTAATTAAAAATCCAAGTTTGCCAAGACAACATTAAGAATATATCAAAGCATTAAGTAATCATTTAAATATTCATGTAACCAGGGCTATAAGCCATATAAATCGTTGATCCAAGTTAAAAACTCTTTAGCCCAGAACCACTAAGAAGTTAATGGTCAATGAATCAAGACTTTCGACCATCATCCCAAACCTAGGCCATGCACGCAGAGGATGTATGTCCAAACCCCAAATGACATGAGAACTAACAAAAAAACAAAAGCTTAAACAAGAAATACCCGCACTGACCCATACGTTCCAACGAGAGCTAATAGACACAAGTGGAGGAGCATAAAACACCAATAGTAGAATATAATACATCCCTTGCCCCTGTGCTCCGATAGCCCCCCGAAACTCCATCACCCAACACACCCAACCATAAACACATGTTTGTGCTCACATATAGACGACGATCTCGATCTACAGTCGATCTGCAAAGGTATTTATTGGTAGATCCATTAAATAATAAAAAATTACACATACTAAACGAAAAACTACAAAAACTCCGGGCAAAGTGGAGAATTAAGTTGAAAACTCCGTTAATGCCTTTGGTGTTAGACAGAGATAACCGAGTTTTTTGGCGTTCCTCGTCGCACGCCACAGTACCCCCCTAAATTCCTCTATCACGAAGCCATAGGATTCATACTACCCTTAAAAACTGTTCGCCTGTGAGATGCTCGCGAGCAGCGAACATCCTCCACATCAGAGAGCAGCAAAGGGATCGGCGGGGACTCCACGCTCGAAAAACAACCAAACAGGACTAAACCAGACTAAATCAGGCTGAGACGGGGGTCAGTGCTTGTAAACTACGTCATTACTCTGAGTGTCTTCTATGACGTAAAAGTGCCGTTACCGGCGTCTGCCATCAAAGCTCCGCCCACTTCTCTGTGTTTTTTCCCAACGCAGGACCGGTCCTGTACACGAGACGCACATGAAATAGTCATTAATACGACAAGTGTAAGAATCACCCGCCTAATAGTGTGCATCCCCAACAAAACACCCCCTCTTCTTTTCCCACAAATTCAAACCCCCCCCCCCCTTCCATACCGCCTATGCCCATCCTCCCCGACCCTCATACCACAGTATGTAGATACCCAACCGACCATTAAACCATCCGCCCATCAGAACCATTGCCAGATAACGCACCCCACCTCTCCCGAGTCCTCCACTCTAACCCCCCTAAAACCTAGCCAGCTGGAAACCACCAATAATCCCGGACTAATCATCCCAGTCCTATTCAATTCCGTGCCACTTCATACCTCTAACACCACGGTACAAACCGCAACCCATAACAAAGTACATTTTGTAGAGATTAAGTAGCTAGAAATGTCACATGGCGTTTTTGCATGTACATAAACATACTTTGGTAGATATAAGAATATTGGTTTTGAAATATAGTGTCATTTGTCATATTATGTAGAAGGTACATACATAAAGTCCATGATCCTTTTATAAAGTATCTCGCATTCATCGCCCCGTATAGCTCCCCCGAATGCCATCATACACACCATTACAACCCAACATACCAGTGCTGAGTATTCAGATAAAAGCAGTAACACCATGAGACTCACGTCCATGTCAGCAGCATCCCCCAGCACTCGAATGCTACCCTAATTAACATCCTGTAATACGGTTCAGAATGGACTCGACTCGGACTTCAGATCCCCAACGAGGAACCAGGCCATGTTTCATACCAGGTTCGGTATGTCAATACCCCCGGCTCAGCAGGTCTAAGCTCCACCCTTTGGACTGCAAAAACCGCCCGCGAGGTATACAACTGGCACCAACACAACCCAGCTGTCCTTTCTATATACCCCCAAAGTTGGCTAAATAGTTTGAATACCGGGCAATTGTTTCTGGTGCAACTGGACAACCTATCTAACAACAGGTTCAAAAGGCACAAGGAAGCTTCTACCGCCCACACTTGAATCCTCCAGACTGTTGGAAGGTCCCCATCCATAACAAGCGGGAAAGGAATTAGAATGACATCCCTAGTCTTAAAGTGGGAGCAGTAAAATAAATTTTCAAGCAGAAAGAAGGGGCAAAATTATTGGAGAACCCATTCACACTTTCAGGCGACAGTGGATCAGTAGGTAGAGGATGTCCTTTGGGCCCTGATGGTCATGGGTTAGAAGCCATGGATATAATTAATTAACAGGATAGGTATTACATAGCTTGTAGCTGTAATAACACACGGTGCTCAGGGGGATTTTCTCGCGCGGTACTGGCAGACTGAACCATACTAAAGTTCCACGTGGGCCACCCATAAATTTTCCCCATAGACTCAAAGCATATTAAAACAGCTCAAACCTCAGCTGACAGAGAACCTACAGCCTTTCAAACTGAACGGAATAAATGAGTTGACAAAATATAAGTGTCCCTTGTACAATCCTAACTTTTTTTCTTCTGAAATCCCTTTGGTTTAGTTTAAATCCTCACTTTAAGTGCCACAAACACTGCTCTTCTGGCTCTCCGAGCACTAGACTCCCGCTTTGAGGAACTGCTCTGATTGGTCCAGTGCGCGGCCGAGCCCCTCTGTGCACGAGCGTGAGACCCGGTGTGAGACCGCACACACCGTGTTTGGCGCAACGCATTTATGGGAGATCAACCCACTGCGCAAACCGGGATAGGACCATACTATTCCCAGAAATACAGGCGATTTTCCCCATAGATCTAGCGAGTTTCCAGGCAACTTCCGCCGAATCTTTTCAGCCCACCTGCCGTCACTAAAAGCGCCACTGAGCACAACCATTCATTTGAAAAGGGCGCCATCTTGGAATCCGCCCCAGCCGACCCAAGACCGTACTACTGACTCCCCTGTATGTGTCCTGCTGTTTTGTTGTGACTTGGGCACACGTTGAACTCTCACTTTTCTGAAGCCCCCGCTGGAATAATCAAGGCACCTGTGGGACATGCCAACCTGCAGGAGTGATCATGAGGGGCTGGCGCTAATGTGTACTGAGGTGCAGCTCTGACTCCCCCCCCCCAGAAAGAAAACGGACGTACATAACTTTGAGTGTGCAAAAAAGTGCTTAATAAAAACCGGGCATTAAAATGGTTACTGAGATAGAATGGATTTCTTTTTCCATGTAAGTGAAAAGGAGCCAGAAATGAAAAGAAAGTCTATGAGCACTTTCCCATTTTGCACACAACCGGTAGTAATCCACCAACACCGTGTAATACACCACCTTCAATAATGCCAACTTCGCCTCATCCTCTTATCCTCTTTTGCCCCTCCCCCACTTCCCCCCTTCCACATCCCACCTTCCAGCGCCCCTCTCATCCCCTCAAACCCCCCCTTGCCCCCAAACAACCCACCCCGTCCACCCCCCCATCACACGACCCCCACATTCCTCGTTTCCACCGACCCCCCCCAATCAGGATCGCCCATATGGAGGGGGGTGGGCAATGTATAGCTCAGGATTCAGGGCATACCAAGCACCGGTCCCTACCCAATGGGCCGACACAAGACAGTCCCAACCAGTGACGTCATTCGACCCTTTGATAGAAACAGCCAGGTAGTATAATGGGCATCAGTAGCCGAGGGCCAGGAAGAGAGGTCCATATAAAGTGTATAGGAGCACATTTATGTGAACATTCTTTATCTGATTGTAAAGATAATTAAATGCAGATGTTAAACGTTGAATATCACTTGTCCTCGCGCGTTCTTGCATCGATTTTTGGATACTTTCCGTCAAAGGGAATTATGACTACATTTTGGTGAAACCCGACGTGATCGGGGCTGAGCGGGACAGAGAATAGCTCAGAATATAAGGCACTGGATTTGTGGGTTTGGGAAAAATCTCGACGTGTCACTTCAAAAAGGACGCTTCTAAGTAAGCGGATCACAGTTTTGGAAATCTGCA